AAATTACATTACATTACTTTACATTACAAATTACATTGCGTTACAAATTACATTACATTACAAATTACATTACATTTCAAATTACATTTCATTACAAACTACGTTACATTACAAATTACATTACATTACAAATTACATTACATGACATACATACATTCATACATATACATATATATATATATATATGTATACACGTATATTCATGTATAAGCAAACTGTAAAATTGGTTTGATTTGTTCGGTATTAAAAAACAATTTGTTCGGTATTAAAAAACAATCAGGGATCTTTCAGCCTCAACAATGCAGCTATTGATCCACAGCAACAGGCATGAAAAAGCAACACTCACCATTGCAGATTCTTGCGGCATGTCAGCGCCAATTTTGCCACACCGTGGAAGATATAGACAACCAGAAAGGAGTTGGAATTCATGGTGTTGCAATGACGGGTGAAGAAAGTCAACAATAATCAAGTAATGTGTTTGTTTCACAGCCATGCGTACTGTTCTCCACGGAAACGGTCAATTGTGTTTGTGATTTCCTGCTTCACCATAAATGCAAAATTAGCATGTTCGAGCGCAAAGGCGAGCACACACGTTCAAGCATTCGTTCCAAAATAACAAAATACGAGGATCTTTTAATCCAAAGGCTTTGCTATGCAAATGTCATTTCGTTTTAGTTTGCAACGAAAATCACAACTAAATGCAGACCGTCGATTGCCGTGGCGTTGTGCCAAACATTACCCAAAAATTAAGGGAAAACATTGGTGTGAAAGGATTCAAATCGACCGTGTTCAAAAACGGATTTCAACACTTTTGCTCTGCGGTTGGATTTCATCCTAATCCAACCTGAACCCCCGGTCCAACTGTCCGTCAATTTTGTTCCTTTCCAAATCCACCAAGCTGCATCACCTAACGAGTGAAACAAGTAGAAAACACGGTCTGAAGCGAGTATAATGTATACATGCAAAAACGGCTAACCACGAGAAAATGAGCCCAAGAGCACGAATTAAATTTACAAATGCGAGGCCGATATTTTTTCGCAACAAGCACTGGTGGGTGAATCCAATGAACTTCAAAAAGCTGGCCGTAGTTATCATTTAATTTAATTCCTGCATATTTTCTTGGTCTCAGGGTTGACCACAAGCAAAATGACATGGATCATCATGGATCTCCCACCAGGCGTGAGCTCCTCACATTGCTACTGTCATAGCTGCTCCAAGAATTTCATCACAGAGCGTCGAAGCGGTGGCAGAATGTTTCCCTAGGAACGAATCCAAACGGTGCAGCATCAAGTCTTGCAGGCGCTTGTTGAATGCCTCCACATCCTCGATCTTGCCCAAAACCAACTCCTGAAGCAAGGTGAACACTTAACTATCACTTAACTTATCTATACTTGTCTTATCATTGTCTCATCTTGTCTTATTGCCTTGGAAACCCGCCGTCCACGTTGATAGAGACTGGAAGGTCTTCCGTTGCGCGGCTCAGTTCCCCCCGCGCCTTGTCTGCCGGAAAGGACGCTTCTGCCTGTCGCACATCGGAGGACGCCAAGCGTCCAAGGCAAACGTCTCTGGAGGCTCCCGAGTGAATCTTCACCACCTGGGCACGTGCATTGTTGAAGCATGGCACAGCTCATTGATGAAATATCTCTGATTCCGTGTGGGTTCTCAGGCATTATTTATTTACCATAGGTCCATAGGTAGTATCATAAGATGGCTTCGGGACCGTTTCTGGAGAGGCCTTTTTGATATTTCGAAGTCCCCATAAGAATCCCATACAAACCCCTGGACATTCTCAGCCAACACCTGAAACCCCTACAGGGCCCCACAAGAATCCCACTGGAACCCCACTGGAACCCCACTGGAACCCCACAACATTCATAAGGAGCTGCAGCCATTACCTGGAAACAATCCTTCTTGGACTCAAAATACCCAACCTTTTCACCCTACTAATCCATACCCAATGCCATGCCCAGGTTTGGGCTGCTGCTGCGAATGACATTGTTCTTGTTCTGTTTGAAATACCATTACCAAATCCCCACTCAACCCCTATCAAATCGTGAGGTCCATGATATGCAGCAACCCTCGCACCTGGGAGATGTGCAAATGATCAGCTTCAACCAATTCTGCAACGCACCAAACGCGCGTCAGCAGCGTAAAGTTCACATCCATCGCAACAACCTGCTCCAATCTCACCTGCTCGGGGGAGGGAAAAAATGTGGACATAGAGTGATATGGATCGTGTATCGCGCAAATGCTTCAGAAATCCATGAAATCTAGTATGGGAGAAGCAGAAATTGGAGCTGCCACATGCACAAGTTCTTCTAATTTAGATTTTTTGAAGTTTAGAATTAAATTCTAAAAAATATTTTTTTAAAAAAAAAACTAGTTTTTGAGCTTGGATAAATTTAGAATTTTTAGAATTTTAGAATTGAATTCTAAAAACTACAAAAATTCTAAAAATTCTAAATTGGAAGGAATTAGTTCAACTTCCTCAAATCCAGCTTTGAATTCTAACAATTTTAAAAATTTTAAAAAAAAAATGAGCTTGGAAAAATTAAGAATTTTTAGAATTTTAGAACTGAATTCTAAAAATTCTCAAAGTTAAAAAGAAAAGAATAAATCTAAATTAGAAGTAGTTCAACTTCCCCAAATCCAGCTTTGAATTCTAAAGATTCTAAATTTTGAGCTTGGATTTTTTGAAAAGTTTTTTAGAATTTTAGAATTGAATTCTTCTAATTTCTATAAATGTTAATTTTGGAGCTTGGAAAATGTAGAACTTTTAGAATCTCAGAATTGAATCCAAAAAAATTGTCTTAAAGAACGCAATTTAACTTAGAAGTAGTTCAGCTCTGCAAAATAAATCTAGGCTTGAATTCAAAACAAGGTGGGCCAGAGAACCCACAAGCAAGACGGCGCACAGCACGCCTTTTTAAAAAAATCTTGCGGTGTGGGCGGCTGTGCTCTGCACGAAATCGACGTAAGATCTTTACTGACACATCGTTCGCACTGATGGTATCAGGGGCCACAATTCACCACAGCATGCTGTGCCAGCTACGTCTACTTTTTTCTAGCCGGTATTTCTGCTACTGTAATTAAATCTGTCCTATCCGCCGACCCCGGCAGACGCAAGGGGGAGCGCGCCAGGGAATAAGACATTTGACCCTGGTTTCGGACTACTTCTACAGGGTAGAACTGCACATAGCCAGTAGCCAGCAGTCAGCGGCAGGAGCAGCCAGTAGGCAGTTTCGGCCTACTACCACTACTATTCTATAGGGTAGAACAGAACCTAGCCAGTCGCCAGCAGCCAGCGGCAATAGTAGCCAGTAGGCAGCAGTCGGCAGCCAGCAGCCAGCGGCAGTAAGGCAGCAGCAGTAGTAGCAGCAGCAGGACTAGAGTTGTAGCAGCAGCACTAGCACACCAGCAGGGTGCGGGTAGGAGTAGGAAGTAGGGTAGCTTGTTGTCGGCAGCTGCTTTTGGTGTACAATAGCAGGTAGAAAGTGGCAGTAGCAGCCAGCAGTAGCAGCCAGCAGTAGCAGTAAAGAGTTTATTCTACAGTTTTAGACGTAACGTTAGGCATCTTTCGGCGCAATTCTGGGGCTGGTTCGTCCTTCAGTGGCATGGTGTTTTGCTGTCAGCAGGTGTTTTTGTTGCTGGTGCGGTCCACAAGTAGGAGTAGGAGGTAGGGGATCTTCTTCTGTCAGCAGCAGCAGCAGCAACGGCAGCAGCCCTCTAGTATCCGCCGACCCCGGCAGACGCAAGGGGGAGCGCGCCAGGGAAAAGGACTTTTGACGCTTGTTTCGCACTCGCTTCGTCCTTTGGGGCCATGTGTTTTGCTGCCGGGAGCTGCAGCAGCAGCCAGAGCAGCGGCCGTGGCAGTAGCAGCGGCAGCAGTGAGTCCAGCAGCACCAGTAGCAGTAAGAGCAGCGGCAGCAGTGCAGCAGCTAGCAGCCAGCTAGCAGCAGCCAGCAGCTCTTAAAAAGGTAAAAAACTGATAATTCCGCACCAGCAGCAAACTTTTTGTAGGATTTCAGAAGGGACGTTCCGGCCTCGGGAAACGCATATTTTGGACTCGCTTCGTCCTTTAGGGCTATTGTGTTTTGCTGCCGGGAGCTGCAGCAGCAGCCAGAGCAGCGGCCGTGGCAGTAGCAGCGCCAGCAGTGAGTCCAGCAGCAGCAGTAGCAGTAAGAGCAGCGGCAGCAGTGCAGCAGCTAGCAGCCAGCTAGCAGCAGCCAGCAGCTCTTAAAAAGGTTAAAACAATGATAATTTCCGTAGCAGCAGCAAGATTTTTGTAGGATTTCAGAAGGGACGTTCCGGCCTCGGGAAACGTATATTTTGGACTCGCTTCGTCCTTTAGGGCCATGTGTTTTGATGCCGGGAGCTGCAGCAGCAGCCAGAGCAGCGGCCGTGGCAGTACCAGCGGCAGCAGTGAGTCCAGCAGCAGCAGTAGCAGTAAGAGCAGCGGCAGCAGTGCAGCAGCCAGCTAGCAGCAGCCAGCAGCTCTTAAAAAGGTTAAAAACCGATAATTTCAGCATCAGCAGCAAGCTTTTTGTAAGATTTCAGAAGGGACGTTCCGGCCTTGCATATATTTTGGATTCGCTTCGTCCTTTAGGGCCATGGTTTTGCTGCCGGTAGCTGCAGCAGCAGCCAGAGCAGCGGCCGTGGCAGTAGCAGTGGCAGCAGTGAGTCCAGCAGCAGCAGTAGCAGTAAGAGCAGCGGCAGCAGTGCAGCAGCTAGCAGCCAGCTAGCAGCAGCCAGCAGCTCTTAAAAATGTAAAAACAATGATAATTTCCGTAGCAGCAGCAAGATTTTTGTAAGATTTCAGAAGGGGCGTTCCAGCCCCGGGAAACGTATATTTTGGACTCGCTTCGTCCTTTAGGGCCATGGTGTTTTGCTGCCGGGAGCTGCGGCAACAGCCAGAGCAGCGGCCGTGGCAGTGCAGCAGCTAGCAGCCAGCTAGCAGCAGCCAGCAGCTCTTAAAAAGGTAAAAAACTGATAATTCCGCACCAGCAGCAAGCTTTTAGTAGGATTTCAGAAGGGACGTTCCGGCCTCGGGAAACGCATATTTTGGACTCGCTTCGTCCTTTAGGGCCATGGTGTTTTGATGCCGGGAGCTGCAGCGGCAGTACCAGCGGCAGCAGTGAGTCCAGCAGCAGCAGTAGCAGTAAGAGCAGCAGCAGCAGCAGCAGCAGTGCAGCAGTGCAGCAGCTAGCAGCCAGCTAGCAGCAGCCAGCAGCTCTTAAAAAGGTAAAAAACTGAACATTTCCGCACCAGCAGCAAACTTTTAGTAGGATTTCAGAAGGGACGTTCCGGCCCCGGGAAACGTATATTTTGGACTCGGTTCGTCCTTTAGGGCCATGGTGTTTTGCTGCCGGGAGCTGCAGCAGCAGCCAGAGCAGCGGCCGTGGCAGTAGCAGCGGCAGCAGTGAGTCCAGCAGCAGCAGTAGCAGTAAGAGCATCGGCAGCAGTGCAACAGCTAGCAGCCAGCTAGCCAGCAGCTCTTAAAAAGGTAAAAACTGATAATTTCCGCACCAGCAGCAAACTTTTAGTAGGATTTCAGAAGGGACGTTCCGGCCCCGGGAAACGTATATTTTGCTGCAGTACCACCAGCAGCAGTGAGTCCAGCAGCAGCAATAGCAGTAAGAGCAGCGGCAGCAGCAGCAGCTAGCAGCCAGCCAGCAGCAGCCAGCAGCTCTTAAAAAGGTTAAAAACCGATAGTTTCAGCACCAGCAGCAAGCTTTTTGTAAGATTTCAGAAGGGACGTTCCGGCCCCGGGAAACGTATATCTTGGACTCGCTTCGTCCTTTAGGGCCATGGTGTTTTGCTGCCGGGAGCTGCAGCAGCAGCCAGAGCAGCAGCCGTGGCAGTACCAGCGGCAGCAGTGAGTCCAGCAGCAGCAGTAGCAGTAAGAGCATCGGCAGCAGCGCGAAATGAAAACTCAACGACGGAGGGAGTTGACCAAAAGAGCATGAAAACGAAGATATGAAGATGACAGATGGTGAATGATCATGAAAAATGAGACATGATGAAAGATGGGTAGAGACTTCTCTGTACACATCCACCTCCTGAATCATCTCGCTGTTTTTTCGGGAGTCCTGAATTTCAGGCGCACCAAAGTCCTCCAGAGTTGGAATCTCACCAGAAATTGACTGAAATGAAAAGAAACGCGATGATAGTTCAAGAGGCCAAATCTTTGGCTTTGACTTCCAGTGCATATATGGAATCGGTTCGAAACACTGTCCTTGTGTTTCATAAGGGTCTGCGAGCCAGTGCACCAAACAAACCAAGATTTGTTGGTGAGCTGTTATACAACTCACTAACAACTCTTGGTTTGGACGCGTGCATGGAACATCTTTCCATATAGGGACCAACCAAGATCTCGCAGTGCACGCTGGTTCTTTGCAGAAGTCGTTTTGGTTTTTGTACATCTCATCAGAAGCTTCGAACATTTGGAGGCTTCACTCTTGGTGGTCTGGCTCATAGTTTCTTTTGTCCAAAGGAGATTTCGAGACAAACACAGCTGCAAGGTCGACATCTCCATGTTCTGGAAAGAGCCATGAGAGGTTCATTTTCACCTGGCCATGGCTCAAAAACGGACCCACAAAACTAGTCACTTTTCTGATGAACCCGTTCAATTTTTGGGGTAAAAAAAATTGAGCCATACCCACCTTGCCAAACTCTGAAGTCACAATAGCTGGATGGAGCCGAAGAAGTTCTCCAAGCATTTGGATGCTGAGGTCATGCATCCAGTGCATTGGCAGAGGCTTATCCAGGATTGCTTGGATGCAAAGACCAACTTCATGGACGGCCATCTGCTTCACCAAATGCTGTGTCCCAGTACTTTTCTTGCAGGGGTCTCAGCTTCAGCAACGGGGCAAGCGAATCTTGACAGGAGGATCTTGATGTGCATGAGCTGGATAAGCCATGTTGGGCTTTCAAAGTGGTGGGATGGCTTATCGATAAGCCATCCCACCACTTTGAAAGCCCAACATGTGCCCCGGCTGCCCACAGCCGCAGCCATAGTAAGCACCGGGCGCTACGGCAGCCATGAGCTTCGATCGGCACGACAACTTGGTATAGTGGGATATGTGTGCGGACGAGCCTAGGCAATGTTGCTGTCACATTCCTGTCATTAACGGGTCTTTTAGGAGTCTGCTCCAGAGACTGTGGCCGTGTCTGCGCGTCTGTCTCTGCGTTTGTACTTTGCCCTTGAAACTGACGATATATTATACTAAATCCATGAAATCGATCATCTAAATGCACGGTTTGAGTGCTTGACCACCACTGTCATAGGTTGGCCGCATCCTCCAAACTCACTTGGAAAACCAGGCCATTGAGTCACCTCGTGAAGAATTTATGCTGCTACATGCTGCTACCCTCTGGCAATCTAACATATAGATCATATCACTAAGGAACATGGTCCAGTAGGTTCGACGATAAATCTCTACTTTAAATGCTGATTTTCCATAGCGCATGTGATAAATCCAATGCGATAAACCTCCATTTGTTCGTTCATACCGTTGATGGTTTACTTTTGGGTTTAGTAAACATAGTAAACGATCATAGCTCTGGAAAATGATCATAATGAGCCATTTGCAAATGATTTCCGTATTAAGAATGAAACTTAAATCAAGGTTTCAACTTTCAACCCATGAATGGCAATCCCCAAAAACTGTGCTTGTTGCTGCTGGTAACTAGAAACATGGTCAACAACTTCGCTGCAGTGGGAGTTCCCATCGCAGGATGCAGCCGGCTCTTGCAACATCGAGACTAATCCATGAAACTCAGAATTAAACCAAATGGGGTCTCTCTTTCACCATCTCTCACCCTATGTTCAATTGTTTATAGTTTATAGGTTTCCGCGCCTCCCCAGAGCAGCTGGTAGCTGGTCAATGGGGTTGGACCGCTGGGTGTCGCAGGTATGGCGATACCATAAAAACACTTGGGGAACCTTGGGGAAAATGAGGCTAATTTGGTAGCAACATGTCCATCATGTCCGATAGTGGGGTATATAATACAAAATATTACATTTCTTGAGTAATGCACATTTCGGTATATTCATGTTTCACATCTTTCAACATAAATTCATCTGCCAAGGGAGTGCCAATGCTTTGCAGAGAATCTAGCATGAGACATTTCCTAAGGATTTGGAGAAAAAAACAAACCAAATGGTGGAGTTTCCACTTGAAACTACTGACTAAACTGGCACCGTCTTGTGGTTTGGGCTAGCGATTGATGTGACACATGATAGCATTCACTCATTGACATTTGGACCGGTTTGGATGGTACAACTTCATCTTCTCCAACTATATGATCCTGTATGTGATGTATGTATGATTATGTATGAATACAATATATATATATAATATATAGCTACATATATATATATAATGTAAGGTTTTGGATCGAAGGTTTGCCCCCTCGCTCTTTTCAACCTTAGGGGACCCTCGTGACTTCCGGTCCCCGGGCAATTGTTTTTGCCTTGCTGTGCAGCTGCATCCATTTTTTCCTGAACTGGTTTTGCCCTGGGAACTTGGTGCTGCGCTGGCATTTGTGGCATTTGTGCTCTGCTAGGGTCTTGGGCTGGCCCTAGTACCACCATCAGTTGCTGAGGTCCCGGCCTCGTATAAAAATCCCGGGTTTTGGTGGTGCTGTGTATGTGGTCCTCTTCATCATTTGGATTGGCCTTCTTCCTGCACCTTTTCCTGCCCATTGACATCCTTTTTGCATTTGACAGGGTTCTGATCGAGCGCTACGGCGTCTGCATCTGCGAGACGTACCCAGAGGAGACAGAGAGCCAGGGCAAGGCTCCAGTGGTTTTTGCATCGAACAGGCAAAGCCCGTCTTGCTGGGTTTCAACTTCAGCGGATCTTTCAGACTTTGAGCTCCCATCATTCGCGCGATTGCGGTTTTCTTCGCGCCATTGTGAGAGCCATGCAGAACCAAAATGCTCCTTGGAGGTGCTTGCACTGCAAACAGCTCCGCAAGCAAAGTGCGACTCATTGTCAGACATGCCATTTACCATGGCAGACGGCAATGGACCGCACCTACATCCATGGTGTCAAGCAGCAGCAGACTTTTCCGCAGAACTATCAGCAACAATGGAATTATCAAGGTGGGCATCAGTACTACCAGGGCGACCAGTCCCCTCGCAGTCAGAAGTCCCCTCGCAGGTATCAGAGCCCTCGAAAGAAATCGCCAAGAGGAGGCAAAGGCAAGGACAATGCAGGATTTGGTCAGTCCTCTCAGTTCCAGTCCTTTCAGCACTTGCCACCTCAGGGATATCCTATGGGCCCTCCATTGCCACCACCGAGTGGTCCACCGCCTCCGTGGGCTCACCCTGGTGCACCGAGCAATATGATGCCGATGATGAACATGATGCCGATGCAGAACGTTTCAGTGCCGCAGCAGTGTGCTCCTGCGCAGGCCTTTGCCCCTTTGGCAATGCCTACGCCTGCAATGCCAACTCTGGTGCAAGAGGCGGTGCCGAACGAACTGCTCAACTATTTGCAGAAGCGCTCTGTGGATTTACCTCCGGATGTGCAACAAAGAGTCCAGACAGAGTCGAGGAAGCAAGGAAAGAGGGTTATCAAAGATCTTCAAGCAGCAGCCAAGTCTCTGGGAGAGGCCCGCACTGCCTACGAAGAAGCCCTGGTTGCCCGTACCCAGCATATCAGCTCCTGGAAATCCTTTTTGGCCGAGGCTGTGAAAAACTGGACAGATTATGCCAAGCTTTTCGAACAGCACGAACAGGCCTTACAGTTGAGAATTTCATCTGCGAAGGACCAATTCCAGGAAGCCAAGGAATGCCTCGATGCTTCCAAAACCTCTGCAGGACAAGTTACCGAGATCAGCGACGAGGAGGAACTTCCGGGCGACTCCGAAAATTCAGCCATGCAAATCACCGAGAGTATCCAGACGCTCTCCAACTCCTTGATGAAGCTCTCCAAAGACGCAGAGTCTATCCAGGTGGAAGGACCATCAGCGAAAAGGCCCAGAATGGAAGAGAAAAAGGAGGAGGGATTTGCTGGAGACGGTTCAAAGCAGCCTTTCAGTTAGGCGGACTGTCTATGACCTTATGGTATAGCAGTCGGAAGCCAGATGTTTTTGATCTTCCCGCAATTGCTGCCCTCAAATGGAGTCATAGCGTTATGCAAGAGCCGGACTTTTGCTGTGAATTTGGTGCCAGAGAAGTCGCTCACAAACTTGCCTTTGAGATTGAACTCGAGGGAGACCGTCCCATTCTTCCCAGTCACAGTTCCCCTTCGAATCCTCGAACCAGCAGACGTCAAGATCTACATGTGGGTTTTGCAGACATGACGGAGCTGAGGTTGAGTTTTGAAGATGACTGGAAGTTTCATGCGTTTTCCTTGCCTTCTCATTATTTTGCCTCGGGGATCACACCATGGAGTGGATGCCAGAAGATAGCGGAGATGAAACAAAGCCGCTTTCACTTTTGTCCTTGGCATGATGGAGGACTAGTACGAAGTTGCGAGCCTACACATGCGCAAGAACACCATCGAATTGCGTCCATCCCTGCTGATTCATCCCAGGCAAAGAATTCTGACAATGAACGGTTCATCCCTTTTATCAACTTTGACAAGACGTTTGCAGATCCCAGCAACTTCACTGGTCGATTCTCCGGCACGAGACAGCACTTTGCTGACGATGCTGTAGTAGATCCCAATGACGTAACTGGTGATACCTCCAGTCATCCTGGAGTCATCGAGCAATATAAAATCACGGACAACTACTATGACAATCCAGCACGCCGCATCCAACAGGAACCTGAAGAACCTGATCCTGACGTCATTCCTGACATTCATGAAGCGCCACAGTTTGCTCAAGATCTTCACGCAATCGCTGGACGTTTTGCCATTTATGACGATCCGGATGGAGATGGAATTTTGCGGCTGAGAACTTGGTATCTTCACCATCAACACATGATTGTGAACTTCCATTCCAGGACCGTTGAGCTGGATGAAGATTGGCGGCGTTGGTCCGATGATATCATTGGCTCTTGGCGAACTCATCTTCATGCTGGGGCCAGTATTTTCTTTCATCTTGTCCATCCGGATCCGTACAGAGGATATCTCAGACAAGAAGTTCATTGTGACATCATCATCACGCAAGGCAACGAACTGCCACGACGCGCAGGGCTTCTGACTGTTCACTATCAAGGAGAACAAACAGACCCGCACACTTATGCAGTTGCGAGTTCCCTGGAGATGGTCGTCAGTGGCAAACGATTAGTCGAAGCGGCGGATGCTGATCAATGGTGTCTCAATTCTCTCCATCGATGCAGCGTTGCATTTGGGTGGCAACACATCCCCTTTGATTTTCAGCCTATTCATCAAGTTCAAAATGGACATGCCTTCACTATCATCGTTACGAAAGCGCGACAAGAGCATGACCTTTCTCTTCCTGATCCGGCTGAATCATATGGGCAGAATACGCAAGAACATGACTATGAAGAAGCTCCACATGCTGGAGAATTTGCCCGGTCTCCTCAAAGTGTGAGGTCAGCATCTTCTCTTCCATCACGTTCGGACTTTGAGGTAGGAGTTCATGTCTTCCGTCTTGGAATGCCTGATGAGCACTGCTATGTGGGCTGGCAGGATTACCGGCAAATTCTTTCTGACATCACCAGATGTGTACATGCTCAGCGCAACGAGATTGTGGCACTGCACTACCTGCAAGCACTTCCAATCGGGATCCATTTTGAAAATGAAAAGGCAGTCATTTTGCAATCCATTCATGACATTCCGGCTGCGTCCATGGAACAATTGATTCTCTTGGACCTGGAGATACATTCTCATGCCCTTCCCAATGGATTGCTGGTGCCGCCAACAGTCTCTAGAAGAGTGATGCGCATTCATCCTCCATTGCATCGATCACAAATGCTAATGCTCCCGGGCCTCAATGACCATTGCGAGCTACATGGAGACAAATGCATCATCTTTGAGAATAACCTCATTTGGTCCTCTAATGACCGAACAGTTCATGCATTGACACATGGTGCCTACATTAGGATACAAGTGCCACCTCCCGATGATCCACTTTTGGACACGGAATCGGCCATTGCAATATCCCGTGAATTTGCGCTGGAATCCGATCGAGGACACTTTGCGACCTTCTGTCAAGGCAATCAACAACCACCACCAGACTTTCCTCCTCCTGATGAAGATGGTAGCGCTTTATTGCAACATTCCATACGCAGTTTCGTGGCTTCATGCTCTGCATGGCAGGTTCAGTGGCAGCCCATGCAGATGAAAGTTTCTCCAGAGCACGTTGTCCAACCGGCGATTCATCGGGCAAGCCAAGGTCAACAGCAAGAACCTGCACCACAAAGACCTTTCAGCAGTTTTCATGGCAGAGATTTTGACACTCTGTCCAACCTCTTTGCATCTCACTCCCTGATTGAATGTGAAGAAGAAGGTCCTATTGCCTATGTTGATACTTGGTACATCCACCATGAACGTCAGCGACAATGTCGAGCACCTCGTGCGGTGCGCCTCTTCCAAGATCCTGCGGAATGGATTGAAGACCTTTTGGAACCCTGGCGTGACATCATTGATCCGACCATTGCCATCACGATCTTCCTTGTGAGACCCACACCCCCATGCACTCAGATGGAATGTCTTCTTGCCCATCTCATCATTGAACAGGCACCTAGACCAGAGTGGGTTGTCGGTCTCATCTCCATCCAGGAAGTGAATCCTCAGGGAATTTCCATTGATCACCGTGCCTTTTCCTTGCCCTCATTGATGTGGGCTCAAGCAGTGATTCGATATGCGGACATCCTTGAACGATGTCGTTTTCGCAGCTGCACAGTTCAAAGAGGAGCCATACCTTTTGGAGTTTTTGACATGGACCATGTGGATCCGGGCATGAACTTGGTTATTGTTGTGCGCGACAGAATGCCATTTGTTGCGTCAAGCTCCATTGAGGGTGACGTCAGTGGACTCATGCAGCGCCCTCCAGATCCCCATGTTGCGGCTGGACCACCTGAAGGACCTGCAGCGGCGGCGCCTTTTGCCTTCAATCCGAACGCAGCTGCCTTCTGCCCGGGCCAAGCACCACTCAATGTTCAGCCTGAGACCATCCAAGAGCTCCATGAGCACTGGCGCCGAACTGCCTTTTGCTGGGAGGATGAATCAGCTTCGACATCGGTCATCACATGGTTCGTCGATCAATTTCACCAGCACCTTCATTCATGTTGGCAGCCTCGAATAGTACGGCTTTACGAAGATTTTGATGCCTGGGAAAGCACCATGCGGGCTGCCTGGAACGATGTTCAACTGCCTGGAGCTCCCATCTTGTTCCACGTAGTGCTACCTGTGCCACCCAATACAGGGCCAGAAATTGCAGCACATGTGTTGTTGGTTCAAAACCCACAGGACACGCTCTCTTCCAGTGTTGTCACGGTTTTTGAAGCCAGTACAGGAATTGCTCGGCTTAGCCATCAACTTGCTGTTACAACTCATGAACGACTTCATCTGGAGCACCTGGTCACTGGGCTGGGTCTTGCCGGAAGATGTCTTCATCCTGGAGCTCCGTCAATTTGCGAAGCATGGGTAGGATCCATTGCTCTACGTATTGGACATCCATTTCCGGCCCGCGATGGCACAGGCATTATCTTGCAACTTAGCAGGCGGCCAAAATTTTCAAGAACAACAAGCTGCACAGGCTGATGCTACCAATCTCCTTCAGATTGGAACGCAGTTGCATACCGGACGAGAGAGGCGCCTAACACATGGGCAGGTGGCTCATACCCATGGGCCTCCCTCCGGTCAACCAATAACCTGTGCAATTAAACTGATTCGCACAAGCTCCGACATGCCCTTCCTACCTGCATATGTCGAGGTTCCGGAACCTCCAACCTCGCACTGCATTCAACAAGAATTGCAAGCCTTCGGCATTCATTGCAACGTGCTGTTGCTCTCCAATGATTGCGTTGCTTTATGCCTTTCATTGGATGAACCACCAGTTTCGCAAAGGAAAGACATGGCACACTTTGCTTATCTTCCTCAAGAGGAACCATGGCAAGCCATTCTGCATTCTATGCCATATGAGAAGGACACGGAATTGGAGCACATGAGGCATCTTTACAGCCTGGGCTTTGAGAAAGCGGTCATTTTGAAAACTCTCAGATGTGATTTTGGTTTTCATGAGATCCACTTCAAAGAAACCTCAGGTATGATGCAATCCACGCCCAAGCAGCAATCAATGCTACCTCCATGGCCACAACATCAGCCCAAACGTCCCCAGGGACCCATGTATCAACCAGACAAGGTCCGCACAACTCCGGACTGCTCTCTTGCGTGTGGCATCACTACGGACGATTTGATGGCTTTCTTCACTTCTTCAAAGGGCACTTTGCGCACGGCCTTTGAGAACCTTGACATGCCAGAGCTTTGCACCCAGCATTTTGCGACATTGGCACATCATTGCCATTTTGACCGTTTAGTCATCTATGCTGACGGATCATCGCAAGCACGCAGCCGACACATTTCTCCACAGCAGAATGAGGAAACCGGAACACCCGATGCATGGTGTTTCCTTGTGCTCGGCGAAACTTATACATCCAGCAGCACTTCAGACATTTCGCTCATAGGTTGGTCTGCTCATCATGTCAGATGCGACGCCACTCATGACTGGTATGTTGGGGCAGACCGAATCGGTTCTGCAATAGCCGAACGTGAAGCCCTATTGTGGGCGATGATCTGGAGAGTGGGACAAAACTCCAACATCCCCACGGTATTCCGGAGCGATTCGATGCTCGCACTTCAACAAGCTCGAGGCGACATTGGTGCACTTTGCTGTGATGAGTCATTCCAAACCTTGCGCGGTTGCGCACAACTGCTGGAATCAGCGCTTGCCCCAGGTGACTTCGTTCTTGAGCATGTTCCTGGTCACGCTGGGGATCCTTACAACGAGTTCTGTGATTGGGGTGCGAAAGCCGAAGGTAGAGGTGGTTTTTTCCTGCCCAGACCTAATTTCCAGCTTGCAACCTGGCGCCCGCTCCTGCCTTATCTTTGGATGATTTTTGGCGCCTCTGTTGGAGCTCCTCAGTTTAGTGGAACAGGATTTGACATCTCTCCTCCTGCTCTTCCTCCTGAAGAACTGCCTCCAACCGCGAAGCAAGGACCTTCAAGTCAAAGGACCCTTGATTTCAACATCAGCATCGCCACTGGCAATGTGCTCTCACTGGGGCGAGGCCCCGTGGGCTTCAAAGGCAAGCTGGACTACTTGCGCTCCCAGCTCAAAGATCTTCATTTGAATTTCTTGGGCGTACAAGAAACAAGGGCGGACGCTGGATCCTCCCTACAGGAAGGTATCCTCAGACTTTCCTCTGGCGCAGACAATGGACATGGAGGGGTTGAACTTTGGTGCAATCTTCAACAACCAATTGCGATCAGCAAGGGCAAAAGCATTTGCCTTGCGAGAAGTCATTTTACAGTTGTCTTCCATGATTCTAGACGTCTTTTGGTTAGAGTCCTACATGACTTCTTTGAAGCGTGGTTCTTGATTGGTTATGCACCACACAGTGGCTACAGCGCTCAAGACAAGGAGAATTGGTGGAAATCCACACAAGATGTGGTGACCAGTCATGTTGATCATTTCACGCCTCTCTTCGTGTGTATTGATGCGAATGCAGGCCCTGGTGAACCGGATGGGACTCACATTTTCCAACCGGGTTTTCGAACCTCAACTGGCACCCCTTTTTTGAAGGACTTCCTTACAGACCTTCATCTATGTGCGCCTATCACCAGTGCAATCCATGAGGGCACCACATGCACGTGGACTTCCCCGACACAAGAGGAGTTCACCATTGATTATGTACTCATTCCGGCGAATTGGTTGCATTGGTGCTCAAGATCCTGCATCTTGGAGGACTTCGACCTTGGAAACAAAGTTGTTGATCACGCGGTGCATGCTGTGGAACTCAAATGGCAACAGACGTTTTCATCTTTCAGTTCCACTGGATTGCCACACCTCGGTTTTGATCGCAATCGCATCCAGCAACGCATGCCAAATGCCTTCCAGCCCTTCGACATCCCTGCATGGTCTTCAGATGTTGAACGGCATCTCAAGTGTATCAATAACCAACTTCACTCTCAGATGCGTCGGAATTGTCCTAGACCCAAACAAGGACCCAAAAGGCCTTACATCGATGAAGCCATCTGGAAACTTCGCAGGCAGAAGCTGGATCACAAAGCACAGCTCAAACACATTCGCCTTCTCCTGCATCGAGAAACACTGGCACGGATCTTCACTGCGTGGAAAACACAAGATGATCGCCATCGAGAAGCCTCTTACTGTTTTGGAACCACTCTGCGGATTGGCCTTCTGAAACATGGTTTAGGACTCAGACGTCAAGCAGCCCTTTTGAAGCACCAAATCAGCAAGAGCAAATGTGCTGCCCTTCAAGAGGTCATCAGTCATTTTACGCAGTCCACTGGAGCGTCGGAAATTCAGCAGAAACTACGACCCTTCATTGGATCCAGTAACAAGCTGAAGCAAGGTCTTGCTCCGCTGCCACTGATTAAGGATGCACAAGGACAACCGTGCACATCACAGACTGCCGCCATGAATCGTTGGATTGAATTTTTCAGCGAGATGGAAGGAGGGGAACGTGTTGATGATGCAACTCAACGCACTTTGTGGAGATCCAACCTTGCTATGCTCCGCAACTTCAACCTGGAGGTCCCGATCACGGAGATGCCATCTTTGGCTGAACTGGAACAGGTATGTCGCCAAGTCGCCCCTGGGAAAGCATCTGGTATGGATCGAATTCCATCTGAATTGATGAGATATTGCCCCCGTGATGTTGCAAAGCATCTTTACTCCCTGCTGCTGAAGATTGCCCTGCAAGGACAGGAGCCTCTGGAGCACAAGGGTGGCTATCTCATCCCCATTTGGAAAGGGAAGCTTAGCCGCGATTGCTGTCAAGCCTTCCGGTCCATCCTCATCTCGTCTATGGTCGGAAAGACACTCCACAAGGCCTTGCGTACCAAGCAGACAGAGCTGTACCAGACCTATCTTCATCAACAACAGCTGGGAGGCCGTAAAGGCATCTCCGTGGTCCTATGTGGTCATCTGGTCCGCGCTTTTCTGCGTATTTTCGCTGCACGAGGACAACCTACAGCCGTTTTGTTCATTGACCTCCAGGAGGCTTTTTATAGAGTGGTTCGTCCACTCGCGATAGCCGGCCCTTGGACAGATGAGCTCATTGCTTCGATGGCTGCAAGGTTGCACCTGACACCAGACCTCCTGCATGACCTCTACCAGCACCTACGAGAGCCCAGCTCAGTGGAGCAAGCGCGAATGAGTGTCACAGCACAGAAAGCAATTCGAGCCCTGCACACTGACACATTTTTTGCCTTGCCAGGGCAACAGGACAGAGTGCGCACCACACACGGTTCGAGGCCAGGTGACTCGTACGCCGATGTGGTGTTTGGGTATTTAATGTCGCGGGTCTTGCAGAGCTTCGAAGCTGATCTCGCGCACACCCACATCTTGTCTCAGTTCCCAGCAGAGCCCAGCATTGACCTGCACTCCAGCGGCTTTCCTGATCAGGATACTCCGCCCCAGACACTGCTTGGCCCTTGTTGGATGGATGATTTGGCGATACGATGCCATTGACAGCGGAGACGAATGCAGTTCTTCACCGCAACCTGCAGACAGCTACCAGCAGTATCCTGGATACCCTCCGGGCTCATGCAATGACGCCGAATTTGGGACAGGGCAAGACTGAAATTCTCTTCAAGCCTCGAGGTGTTGGAGCGCAGAAATTTCGGAAGCAGCTCTTTGGTCCTCATGCACCCAACTGCATCACAGCCATTGGAGAGTATGATACTTACAAGGTCAACCTTGTCAATTCGTATCTTCACTTGGGAGGGCTGACACATTATACAGGAGACCTCCGCAAAGAGACCCGGAGGAGGATCGCAATTGCGCATCAGAGTTTCAACAAACATCGCAAAATCATTTATCAAAACGAGACTCTCCCTATGTGTAGAAGATCAGAGATTTTCTCGAGTTTGATTCTGAGTCGCCTCCTTTATGGAGCAGAAACCTGGTACATTCATGATTTGAAAACCAAAGAGTTCCTGCACAGTGCGATCATCAAGCTCCTGAAGCGTCTCCTTCGTTGTTCGGCTGATGACCACATCACGGATGAGGAAGTACTACATCGCAGCAACATGCCGACTCCGACGGCTCTTCTTCGACTCAAAAGACTGAGCTACTTGTGCTCCCTTTTGAACAATGGACCCTCAGCCCACTGGGGACTTTTGAATCAAGATCAAGCCTGGCTGGCACTGATCAAGGATGATCTTCAATGGATGGGAGATCAACTTGCCAACTCATGTAGCCTAGGCAACCCATGTGAGCACACTGAACGTTGGCTGGAAATTATGCGTTATCACAAAGGATATTGGAAACGACTCCTTCGCAGAGCCCGTGAGCATTCCATTCTCCTGAATTCCAGACATTTTCTTTGTGTTGCTGCACATTGGCGAGTGCAACAATCGCTTCAAGGCCATGCTCTTTGGAAAGGCTCTCCCAGGCGAAGC